GCGCGCGCGCGTGCGTGCGATCCCTCCGCGGCGCCCGACTCCGAGGGTCCCGGGAAGGAAGGGAAGGGAAGGGAGGCTGTGGGGCAGGGGCGCGGAAGGATACCGCTCGGGGACAATCACGGCCGCCACGTGCGGGAGCGGCGGGGTCCGGCTCCCGGCGGAACTCGGCCCCGGGATGAGCACCTGCGGCGCAGGCGCCGGGGACGGGTCGGAGTCCCCGCGGCCGGCTCGGATGCGCCTCTCTCCACCGAGCCCTGTGGCCCGGGACGTGGGCTCTCGGGCGGCGGTGTCCGGTTGCCGAGTTGCCCTGGCGACGGGATGCGGAGCGTTTACGCGGATCGGCGGGGGGCAAGGTCGCCCCACTCCTTTGCGGTGTCCGCGGGGGCGCTGTCCTCTCCGACCGCTCTGCCAACTCGTTCGCAAAAGCGCTGAGAGGGCGCGACCCCGGAAACCTGAAATCCGAGCCGGCGTCCCTGGCGCGCAGGAACCTTGCTGTGTTTTGTGGGTGTTGCATTGTCGCCACCTTTGGGTGCAAGGGGCCTCCCTTTCTGCAAAGGACTCCCAGCCAGGAAGAACCCTCTTAATGCTGCTGATCGCGTGTGGCTAATTTACAAATAACGACCCACAGACTATAGATTGCTGGTTAACTGGGAACGGTGTTGGTGGGCTAAAGAAAATAGAGGTCTAGGAGAGGATTCACGAAATGAACCTAGTTAAATTTAGTCACCTTCCAGCTTTTCAAGGGTAAAGTTTAAGTTCAGGACTCAGATTTGTGCCAGGCTGTACCTGCAATCCCACAATGTTAAGGAAAGGCATCATGAGGAGTAGCGCCCCTTGAACTTTCTGTGCTAGGATTACTCTGCGAATCAGGCAGCACCCCCCAACAATGATGGCAATTGCAAAATGTCAGAGACGAAAACACCTTTTAAACGTGGAAAGGTTGGTTTTGAACTTTAAAATTACCATGCAAGGTTACAATTTGTGACAGACGTAGCAATGGAAGAAAGGAACGATGCTAGTCAATCTAACAAAAGGTTCTGAAGTTTTGGGGTTTTGTCTACTGTTGGCTTTGAAATGCACACAGGGTTCAGGTAAAAAGTACAGCAAGATAATTACCAAACCAGGAACCTTTCCCATTGAGACAAAATGACAGCACCTAGGTTGTGCCTTCTCCATGTGGGCACACTGCCTGGTCTGTTTACTACTCTGCCTTTTTCTGCTTGATGATGGTTTGGGCATGTTACCGTGCGAGTAACTAATGATGGTTACAGGGTGCCGACGGCGTGGGTATAATTCACATGAATATCTTGAGTATTCATCAAGCTGTACGTTGGCAATTTACCTTGTGAATGTAATAGTTCTTTGAGTTTAAAATGAAACCGTATTGGCAGCAATAAAAATAGGTTCAGAGAAATGTCGCCATGTTTCATGTATTAATATACTGTGTGATCTTATTGTTATAGCAAAAAGCACTACATTCCATTTTTATTCCTTTGTCGCTGGTTGAAACGACTTAAGACCTAAGTATGTATACACTCTCGAATTTCACACGATTCTAACACACATCAGGTGAAACATTCAGGATTTAGAATTCCTATCTTTGCTTTTTTCCTGTGGGTTTCAAACTTTAACGGTACATTTTAAAATTGGTTTTCCTTTTCAAGTGTTGTGTTCTTTTCCCCCAAATGACACGCTGTAACGCTTGGACAGCTATGGAAAAGATAGAGGTGCCCTGGTGGCTTAGTGGTTAAGCACTTGGCTGCCCGTCAGAAGGTCAACAGTGAGAACCCACCAGCTGCTGTGGGAGAAACAGTGGCAGACTGTTCCCACAAAGATGACCGCCCGATGGACACGGTGGGCAGTTCTACTCTGACCTACAGGGTCTAAGAGCCACGGTGACTCAACAGCGAAGTGTTTCAGATCTGGTGTAAAAATATATATCCACTTAATCGGCCAAGGAGTCTGGCTGGTGCTGTTAGGTAAGCATTGGACGGCTAACTACAAGGTTGGCGGTTCAAGCCCACCTGCTGCTCTGCAGGAGGAAGCTGAAGCGGTCTGCTCCAGTGAAGAAAGATCAACAAAAGCTTGGAAATCCTAAACAGCTTCGCTATGAGTTGGAATGGACTGGATGACATGAATGTTACAGTTTAGCTTGTTATGTTGCATATTCATGTACTATCTGTGTTCGGCTCTCAGAGAAAATAATCTTGTGCTTGTTTTCTTTAGCGCCCAGGTGGTTTTCCTTCCTCAAATGTTGCTATTTACTATTTGTTAACAGCGATGGATGGCTTCCGGTTTCATTTACCTATTGCTTACCACAAGATGATTATCCAAAAATGCAGATAAGGTAGAATACTGAATCTAAGGAATAGCAATAGCGGCCAACTTACGTTTAAAACGAGACAAAACAACAACCCGCCCACTGTGTGGTTTTAAACTCACAGTAACCCTGAAAGACAAAGTGGAACTACCCTATAGTTTCCCACACTGTAAGCTTTACAGCAGTGGGTCTTTTCTCTTTGAAACAGGGTGGATTTGAACTTCTGATTTTTCAGGTAGACGGCTAGGGCCACCAGGGCTCCACTTAATCCAAAGGCACATCACTTGTAGAAAAAGAATTACCCACCTGTAATGTAAGTGCAAAGGAGGCACAAGACCAGAAGAAGGATTGCCAGCCTTTGACTTTCTAAGGGACCCCCGGTGGGACGGTGGTTAAGTACCTGACTGCTAACAGAAAGGTCCATGGAAGGTTGGGGTTCCAACCCACCAACGGCCCTATGTGAGAAAGATCAGTCTGATTCCATAAAAAACGATAGCCATGCAAATCCTATGAGGCAGTTCTACTTTGTCTTACAGGGTGTTTTTGAATCAGAATTAACTGGATTGCACACAGTATCTGTCTCAATTTTTTTTAGCATAACGGATCCCTACTGTAATAACAGTAATTGTCTGAGCAGAGGCAGAGGAGAGTTGTGGCCTCCCAGAATGACAGCCATCAGCAGCCAGCTGTTAGGTACAGTTGAGTCAGTTTCTCTTCGCGGTGACTACCACCGAAGGGACACTGCCCGAGTGGTCACCGTCTTCACAATTGTCATGTTTGGTCACATTGTTGCCACTGCTGAAGTCTTGCCTCTCTTTTCACGGACTCTACCAAACCCAGTAACCCTCTCCAGACACTGGTCTGCCCTGACTGCTTGTCCAGAGTACATAGCACAAAGTCTTGCCACCCTTACTTCCCCGGAGGACTCTGTATTCTGAGACAGATTTGTTGTTCTCTGGTAGTCTTTGCCAACATCATAATTCAAACGCACCAATTCTTTGGTCTTCCTTTTGCATGGTCCGGTTTTCACGTGTATAGAAGATGGTTAAACATGTAGTGGCTTGAGTCAGATGCACCTTTGACCTCAAAGGGACCGTTTTGCTATTTGACACTTGAACAAGGTCTAATGAGGGAGATTTTCCCAGTGCAATAGGCTCTTTGATTTCTTGACTGCTGCTGTGAGTGTCCATTGTGGATCCAAGTAACAAAATCCTAGACCCCGTCAGTCTTTTCTCCGTCATCATGATGTTATGTATTGGTGTCGTGAAGAATTTTGATATATTTATATTGAAATATAATCCACACTGAAGGCTGTAATGTTCAATTTGAGTATACTGTGATAGCTTTCATTTTTATGTATTAATGCAGGGTCAGTTCAGTGCACCAGATTCTTGCTTATATAAACCAAAATGTACGCCACTTTATATACATGAGGGGACTTCAGAAAGTATGTGGGGAAATTCCATTATCTTTCAGTTCAATTTTTCCACGAACTTTTTGAAGCATACTTGTCTGTGGGAGGAACTAAAATTATAGTACGTAATTATTTAAAATGTAATAAAACTACAAATAACTGAACTCATACCCAAACCTTCCATTAGCAAAAACCGTCATCTCCATGTTTCATTTTTTTTTAGAATGAATTGTTTCAATTATAAAAGTACTATCACAGCAATCCAGTAAGTTCTAAAAGTAGAGGGGGAAATGACAGTTCTTCACATGATCTAATATAAATTATGAGGGGCTTCCCTCGTTCAGTTTGAGTTCTATAATACAGAAAAAGAGGGGCTACAATTTTGAATTT